CCCCCCCCACTCTTAGTACCCTCTGACCCCCACCTTCTGCCCCCACCATCCCAACCCCACTCATTAGCCCAAACCCTTCACTCAACTCTAGAATTATCAACCTTGCGAAGGCTTCAACCCCTTCCCCCCTCCCCCCCTCCCCTACTTCCTTTTATTTCTCATGATTTTTTTTTTTCGGTCTGTCTCTCTCGTTTCCTTCTCTCTCTCTCTCTCTCTCTCTCTCTCCTCTCTCTCTCTCTCTCTCTCTCTCTCTTCTTCTTCTTCTTCTTCTTCTTCTTCTTCTTCTTCTCTTCTTCTCCCTCTTCTTTCTTCTTTCCTCTTCTCCCTCTTTTACCTCTTTCTCTTCCTCTGTTCTTGTTCTTCTTCTTCCTCTTCTTCATCTTCTCCTCTTCTTCTTTTTTCTTCTTCTTTTTCATCCCTTCCACATCCTCTTCCTCTCTTTTTTCTTCTTCTTCTTCTTCCAAGGCCTGGCGTCGTATAGGCCTACGGAAAATCAGCTTTTGTGTTCATGATTAGCATTCAGGTGCGAGATAGGCCTACCGTTTTTTGCTGTTGTTATTTCTTATTTTGTTGTTGTTCTGTTGTTTATTTTTGTTGCTTATTTTGTTGTTGTTGCATTTGTTTTGCTGCATTTGTTGTTATTGTTCTCTTTTTGCGGGTTACAGGAAGGGGGAAAGGGGTTGGGGGTGGAAGGAGGTGGGGGGTAAGAAGGGTATTTCTCCGACATTATATAAGTGGGGGGAAGGGTGAAAGGAGAAGGAAGAGAAGACGAAGGTGATAAAACAGAGAACAATGTTTAAAAGAGAGAGAGAGAGAGAGAGAGAGAGAAAGAGAGAGAGAGAGAGACAGAGACAGAGACAGAGACAGAAGCAGAGAAAAGAAGAAGAATAAGAAGAAAAATAAACACATCAAGAGGAAGCAAAGAAGACATCCATTAAAGGGAGGAAGGGGGAGGGAGGGTATTAGGGGGGAGGTAGGACAGGGGCAACGTTCGATTCCCTGAACACAATGACACAGCGAAATAATCCTTTCAAAACATGACGAACACATCCTTTTTTTTCATCAGAGTTCACTTGGTCCGTGAAAAGGCAAAGAGGAAAAGTAGATATAGATGGATGTAGATAGATGTAAGTAAATGTAGAGAGATAGAGATAGATAGAGACAACTATGGATAGATGTGAATAAATGTGTATACATGTGTGTGTGTGTGTGTGAGAGAGAGAGAGAGAGAGAGAGAGAGAGAGAGAGAGAGAGAGAGAGAGAGAGAGAGAGAGAGAGAGATAATTAGATATTCTTCGACATATGACTAGATAGTTAGAAATAACTAAAAAAAGTAGATATAATTCAATATCTGGATATAATTACATAAAGTTTTATATAACTAGATAGAGATAGATATGATTATCTATATTTCGATATACTTTCACATAAATATAATTCTATATATTTTCACATAATTAAATATAATTCTATATACTTTCATATATATAATTCGATATACTTTGATGTGATTAGATGCGGCAGATGTAAATTAGATAATAGAATAAAAGGATGAATATAAGATATTTTCAACGTAGAAAAATAGAGAGAATGTGGAATAACATCATCTGTTCTTGCATAACAAAAGCAGAAGAGATAGAAAATAGAATAAGATCTTCCGTTCTTGCATAACAAAAGCAGAAGAAGAGATAGAAAAGGGAATAACATATGTTCTCGCATAACAAAATCAGAAGGACAGAGAGGAAAGGGAATAACATACTCTGTTCTTGCATAACAAAATCAGAAGAAAAAGAGAGAGAAAAGGGAATACGATCTTCTGTTCTTGTATAACACCGTCCAAGATTTGTTATTCACGTCTTGTGGGCAATCAAGAAGGATATATAACAGATATAAATAGGCTTAGTGTTCAGTGACCTTCGAGTGTGCTGTTAGGATGTATGTGTGTATTTCAACCTTGGAAAGAGGGAAGGAGGGAAGGAGGGTGGAGGGAAAAAAGGAAGGGTAGGAGGAGAAGGAGAGGAATGAAGGGGGAGAGAGGGAGGCATGGAGTTAGGGAGCCAAAGAAGGAGGGAGGAGAGGGAGGGAAAGAAAGGAAGGAAGGGAGAGAGAGGGAGGCATGAAGAAAGGGAGAAGGAGAACGGGAAAGGAATGAGGAGGAGAGAGAATCATACAGTGAGGAATAGATAGACAAAGAGATGAATATACTCAAATACAAATAGATAGCTAATAGGTAGATTAGCAGAAAGAAAGAGAGAAAGATAGTAGGAGAGATGTTAACTGAAGAATAAAAAGGTTATCAAATATCTTTAGATGGAGATATGAAAAAAAATTTATAACTGAATTATTGAATGAATGTAGTAATTTGGCACATGAATGAATATGTGAATAGATAAAGAGATGATAGATGAAATGTATGAATTATTGAATGAGTTATCATATCAACTTATTTATCAATATATAGACTGATAAATAGATAAACATATATAATGGATAATAATTACTGAAATAAAACATTTAAGTAAAATATACGAAATGATAAGTGAGTGAATTAGTATATGAGAAAAATGAATAACTCTGGAATAATATATTGAAGATGATAATCACCATTATTATCAATGATTTATCGTTCATAATGTTACTTGGAATGCAAAAGGAGCTATGAACTATGTTTAAATTATTTTAAAATTTAGATTATTTTAAAATGACAATTATGATAAATACTTGTTAATTCATCACACTTTACAGAAAATAATAATTGTAAAAAGAGTGATTCTTATTGTCATTTAACATATCATTCATTGCCATTTCTTTGCAACTGATAAAGTGATTATTATTGCCACTTGCATATAAAGTTATTGCAGTTGATAAACATTGCAACAACAAAACCAAAATGACATATCACGGTGTTTATTTTTTAAGGCGTTAAACCGGTTTTTGCAGTTTATAAAAAGGTGTCGTGGTTTGTCAAGTTGCATTGCAGGCGCGTGGGGTTTGTCAATTGCACTGTTGTTTGTTTGTTTGTTGTTTGTTGAGTGTGTTTATGAAGAAAGGTAAAATGATCTATTTATCTTCCTCTCCTCTTTCCCGTCCTCCCTTTCCTCCTCCCCCAAATCTCCTCTCCCTCCATTCTCCATCCTCTTCTTTCTCCTCCTCGTCCTCCCTCTCCTCCTCTTCCTCATCCCCCTCCCCTCCCCCTCCTCTTCTTCGTCTTCCTCCTCCTCCTCTTCCTTCCCCTCCTTCTCTACTTCCTTTCCCTCCTCCTCTTCCCCCTCCTCATCCTCTTCCTCTCTTCCTCCTCCTCTTGCTGCTCCTCCTCATCCCCCTCCCCTCTTCTCCTCCCTCTCCTCCTTACCACCCACTACCCTCCCTCCTTCCCTCACCCCTACCCCCCCCCCCACACACACACACTTCCGGTAATGACGTGCGTTGAAGTCACACTTAGCGCCTCAAGTTACACCTCGAACCGCGCAAGCACACGCACGCAAGCAGGTGTCAGTCTCTCTCTCTCTATCTATCTATTTATCTCTCTCTCTCTCTATCTATCTATCTATCTATCTATCTATCTATTTCTCTCTCTCTCTCTCTCTATCTATCTATCTATTTATCTCTCTCTCTCTCTCTCTCTCTCTCTCTCTCTCTCTCTCTCTCTCTCTCTCTCTCTCTCTCTCTCTCTCTCTCTCTCTCTCTCTCTCTCTCTCTATTTCGCTCTCCCATGAAAGAGTTTTCTGAATTTCCATTTTTTCTTCTTTTTAAGGGGGGGGAGGGCTCGCCTGTTTGTCTGTTTGTTTAAGTCTGGTTTGTTCAGGTTCGTGTTGTTTTGTTTACTTATTTGTTGATTGCGTTTGTTGTTGTTTTTTCTTGTCTTTGTATCTTTCTATTTTTATTTTTGTATTGGTTATTAATATCATGATGGACACAATTATATGAATTGCTATTATCATAACAATTATGCTATTTCGTTATTATAATTTGATTTATCTTTTAGATGTCTTAATTTTTTGTCTATTTCATTTTATCACTCCGTCCTTGTTCGTTTTTTTTTTTCCTTTCTCCCTAAATTTACATTATTTCGTCTGTATTTGTTAATTTCCATTTCTACCCAATTTCAAAATTCAAATTCCTCCTCCACTTCTCTTTCCCCCTTCCCCCTTCCCTTCCCTTCCACCTCCCTTCCTTCCTCCCCTTCCTTCCCTTCTCTCCACATCCATCCCTCCTTTTAATCTCTCTCTCCTCCATGTCCCTCCCTCCCCCTTCCCTCCACCTTCCTCCCTCCCTCCTCCCCATCCTAAACCCCATTCATTCAAATCCCAATTAACCGTTTTATTACACATTTTCCCCAATCATCACCCTTACTTATATCCCCCCTTCTCTTTCTCTCCTAAACCCCATTCATTTAAATCCCACACCAATTAATCGTTTTTTCCCCAATTTTCCCCAATCATCACTCTTACTTATATCCCCCCCCCCTTCTCTTTCTCTCCTAAACCCCATTCATTCAAATCCCACACCAATCGTTTTTTTACAGATTTTTCCCCAATTTTCCCCAATCATCACTCTTATTTATCCCCCCCCCTTTCTCTTTCTCTCCTAAACCCCATTCATTCAAATCCCATACCAATCGTTTTTTTTTCCCAATTTTCCCCAATCATCACTCTTACTTATATCCCCCCCCCCCTTCTCTTTCTCTCCTAAACCCATTCATTCAATCCCTACCAATCGTTTTTTTTTTCAATTTTCCCCAATCATCACTCTTACTCCCCCCTTCTCTTTCTCTTTCTCTTTCATTCGAATCCCATACCCCAATTTTCCCCAATCATCACTCTTACTTATATTCCCCCCCCCTTCTCTTTCTCTCCTAAACCCCATTCATTCAAATCCCATACCAATCGGCTTTCTCTCCTAAACCCCATTCATTCAAATCCCATACCAGTCGTTTTTTTTTTTTTTTCCCAATTTTCCCAATCATCACTCTTACTTATCCCCCCCTTCTCTTTCTCCCCCTCTAGGCTGTGGGTCATGTCTCCGGCTGTCATATCAACCCAGCCGTGACATGCGCCATGCTGGTTGCCCGTCACGTCTCCGTCATCCGGGCACTGATCTACATCGTGTGCCAGTGCCTCGGTGCCATCGTCGGGGCAGCCATCTTGAAGGTGAGATTTGTGGGCTCTTAGCTCTTAATTGCTTGTTTTGATGGGGGAGGGAGGGAGGCATTCGTTCTTATTGCGTCATTCGCTCTTAATTGCTTGTTTTAATGGGGAGGGAGGGAGCATTCGCTCTTAATTGCTTATTCGTCTTATTCGCTCTTAATTGCTTGTGTTTTAATGGGGGAGGGAGGGGGGCATTCGCTCTTAATTGCTCTTAATTGCCGTGTTTAATTTTCCCTCCTTAATTGGATAAATTCGCTCTTAATTATTAGGGGGAGAGGGGAGGAGTTCCCTCTTAAAGATGAGGAGAGAGGGGGTGGTTAGATCTTAATTGCTTGTGTTTTAATGGGGGAGGAGGGAGGGGAGAATCAACTCTTAAATGGGGGGAATTAGGTGATAAATAGTGGAAGAAAGGGTTAGCTGTTAGTAGTTTATGGTTAATGAGGGGAAAGGAAAATAAAACTCTTAATTGATTGTGTTTGAATGGGGGGAGAAGGGGGTTGTTTAGCTTTTGTTTGTGTTTAATATGGAAAGGGGAATATTAGCTCTTAATGGTCTATATTTGGCTCGTTTAGTTTTGATTAGGGTAGTAAACAGTACTTAACAGCTTGTTAGGTTGTTAATGGTCCGTATTTAATGTGTGGTTTCATTCTTAATGGTCTATATTCAATGGAGTAATTTACTCTTAATGGGCTACACTTGATAAGTAGTTTAGCTCTTAGTGTCCTTTATTTATTGGGGTGATTTAATCTTTATGGGCTATAGTGGGTGGGTAGATTAGTTTTTAATGTTTTATATAAAATGGGTAGTTTACTTTTTATTAGTCTGTATATTTTAGCTCTTAGCGGTCAATAATGGGGTAGTTTACTCTTAATGGGCTGTTTCAGAATACTTTTAAAAAAATGGTTTATGACTTAGCTGATATTTAATGGACTTAGCTCTAAAGACCGATATTCATATGTCTTTGATTTTTAATTGGTTAAATTCCTCATTGTCTTTAACCCTTCATATTTTTTGTATTTTACCTTATCTTATATATATATATATATATATATATATTATATGTTATATATACTAATATGTAATAACATTATTGTTTAAGTTCCGTATGGATTTTTTTTTCTTCTTTGAGCTGTTTTTAATATATAATCTTTTTTCCTCAAAGCTGCCATTTCAGAGGTAAGTTTGGTGGCCTTATTAACAAAAGAATGTATTTAAATGGGTTGTGATATAGAGGATCCTAAAGGTAATTCATGGTTGGTCGGTTGCTAATGGTCTATAGTCAGTGGGTTTATTTAACACTTAATGGTATGTGAGTTACGAATTAGCATAACAAGACATTTCGAAGAGCTTTCTGTACCTATGGTGAATTATGGTTATTTAACTTTTAGTTAACAATATTTAGTGTTATCGTTTGTTTTTTGTTTTTTTGCTTTTTCATTTTTCCTCAATGTATCTGTCATTATTTTTCCCTTTATTGGGCTATGCTAAGCTGTCAAGCCACGTTTCTTTGGCATATTTTATTTAATAGACGACCTATTCTTTCCTATTTTCTTTATATAACTTTTTATAGTAGTATCCCCAACTACCGTGCATAATTCGAATACTAGATCCTAAGTACTTTATATTTTATCCGTCATACTCAGTCCTTGTTATTTACTACTTATTACTGAAGACTTGATCAGTAGAGAAACGCCAGATTAAGATTCAACTCGGGCATCAGTCATGCGCCTCTTATAGGGAACATTAAAACACGAGTTTCATTGTTATTCATGTATTCTTACGTGGGGTGAAAAAATTTACTCTTTGGTATGCTTAGACGACGATGTCGAGGCGGAGAAGAGTAATGTTAGTATATATATATATATATATATATATATATATATATATATATATATATATTATATATATATTATTTTATATATATTATATTTTATTTATATTTTTTTTTTTTTTTTTTCTTTTTTTTTCCTCTTTTTTCGTCTACTTTTTAAAATTCGTCTTTCTTCTTTTCTTCTCATTATCCCTCTTCTACTCCTGCTTCTTTATTTTTTTCATTCTCCTTCTCTTCTCCTACTTCTCTTCCTCCTCCTTTTTCTCCCTCTCCTACTTCTCTCTTCTTTTCCCACTATCCTCCCCCTTCTTCCTTTTCTCCTTCTCCTGCTCCCCCTCCTCCTTCTTCTTCTTCTTCTCCCTCTTGTCTCCTCGGTCACGTCTTGCAAAACTTAAATGTTTATTATGCAAACGTTGAAAAACAAATGAATATTTCTCTTTCACTATCGACTATCACTTACCATTTTATTCTTGGTGTTTTCCCACATTCCAATTGATTTGGAAATTGATATAAAAGAAGAGAATAATGATAATTATAAATACATTAAGAAATAATGAGAAATGAGAAAAAATACTCACTGGTAGCTCTCGACCGTGATAAAGTGCACAGTCATCTTTGGGAGTATTTGCCTTCTGCCTAAATGGTGCTAAGCAACCGAATGATGAGAGGAAGAGGTAGATGAAGAAGAGAGAGAAAACGAGATAGAGATAGATATATAGATAGAGAGACAGATAGAGATATATATAGAAATAGAGATAGATATATAGATAGAGAGATAGATAGAGATATATATAGATATATATAGATAGAGAGATAGATAGAAATATATATAGAAATAGAGATAGATATATAGATAGAGAGACTATATATATATATATATATATATATATATATATATATATATATATAGAGAGAGAGAGAGAGAGAGAGAGAGAGAGAGAGAGAGAGAGAGAGAGAGAGAGAGAAGAGAGACAGACAGACAGACAGACAGACAGACAGACAGACAGACAGACAGATAGAGAGGAGAGAGGGTGAAAGGTGTTGGGAAAAAAATAAAGAAATAGAATTTTAGAAAGAACGAATTAAGGAAAATACATCGCACATACACACGAACAGACATTCACTTAGATAAACGAAACACACGAAAAACACGCACACACACACGCGCGCACACAGGTATAAGCCCTATGTTCCCATTACCTTTTTTAGGGTTAATGTCACTCAGTGTTCGTGGAAGGACCTGGTGGGAATATTCTCATACGCACCACGTAACTCGTAATAATTATGTGTGTGGGTCTTCGGAGGGAGGAGGGAGGAGAGGAAGAAAGGAGGAAAGGAAAGGAGGGAGGGGAGAGAGAGGAGGGAGAGATTGGAGAAGGAAGTAAGGGATGATAGGGATATAGATATAAGATGATAGATAACACACCAGATAACTGGATAGACAGATAGATAAATAACTGGATAGACAGATAAGATAACTAGGATATAGAAGATAGAGATAAATAGATAGAGATGATAAATGGATAATCGAATAAACAGATAGAGATCTAGACAGATATAAAGTTAGGAAGAACGACAAAAAGCTTGAGCGCGCGTTGGACAACCACATCACACCAAAACGACAACCAGCACCATAACGACAACCACATCACCACCATGGCACCGCGTAACCCTTTCCCCTCCTCTTCCCCCCAGGGAGTGACCCCCGCAGACATCCAGGGGTCCCTTGGCATGACCCTGAGGAACGAGAAGATCGACACCGCTCAGGCATTGGGCATCGAACTCCTCATCACCTTCGTCCTCGTCATCACCGTCTTCGGGGCCTGTGATGAGCGTAGGAACGACGTGAAGGGATCAGCTCCTCTCGCCATTGGCCTGTCCATCACCACTTGCCATCTCTTCGCCGTGAGTAGGAGCCCGGGCTGGTGTGGGCGTTTTTTTTTTTTTTTTTTTTTTTTGAGGGGGGGGGAAGGGGTGTTGGAGTAACGACTTTTTTCGTGACTGATAACTTTTTTTTTTTTTTTTTTTTTTTTTTTTTTTTTTTTTGGGGGGGGGTGTATTGGTATGACTGATGAGTTAAGGGTAAGTCCGATATGCGAAGCTGAGCCTCTATCCCGGCCTGTGGCGACTAATGTCGACTCAATTAACGTGTGTTGGTGCTGACGCGATGCAGCTTAGCCCTTACCCACCGTGGTGCCCAGCCGCAGCAGTAACCTCCGGGCGACAATTGCAACTTCTCGCGCCTGGGCGGGGCGCCAATCGCCAACCCCTAATTTATCGATATAAGCCGACATGTTACCACTGTAATAGTCAGGAGGTTACTGATGGGTTCGTTGTGGGTTTTCTTCGTTTGGTGTGACTGATGTCTTTGTTGTGTTTCCTTTTGTTAAATTTTGCCATGGCGTGACTGATGACTGTTATTTTCTGTGTGCGTGTGTGTGTGACTGCTGATTTTGTTGTGGGTGTGTTCTTGTTTTGCCGTGGTTATACCCGACTCTTTGACGTGGGTATACCTGTCTCTTTCTCGTGGATATACCTGTCTCTTTGTCATGGGTATACCTTCTTTTCTCTTTGCCCTGAAGTATGCCCCTTTCTTCACTACGAAAGACTGATGCAAGACTGTTTCCCAAGATTATTATTAACCTAAATGTCGAGGTTGTGAGTATGTTGTCCCTTGTAATGTAGTTGTGAGTAAGATTCCGGTATAAGATTCTTACTGTGGTGTCACGTAAACCAGCGGGGGTCATGTGTAGCCATGGTGTATACGAGGTGTCGTGTGTGCCTGTGGTGTTATATGTTGCCTTGGTGTCGTCTGAGAGCTGCCGTGTGCCCCATTGGTGTCGTGTCCCTGGTAGCATACCTGTGGTGTCATAGTGTCCACGTGATCATACACGTGCTATGCCCACCTTCTCTCTCCCTACTACCCCCCTTCTCCCTCCCTCCTTCCTTTTTCCCTTTCCCTGCTCCCTCTCCTCCCTTCCTCCCTTCCCCTGTTCCTTCTCCCTCTCCTCCCTTCCTTTCCTTCCCTTTCCCTGCTCCCTTCTCCCTTCTCCCTCTTCCTTCCCTTCTTTCCTCTCCTTTTCCCTTTTCCTTCCTCTCTCTCCTCCCTTCCTTTCCTCTTTCCTTCTGCTTTCCTTCCTTTCCCCCTTTCTCCCACTCCTCCTCTTCCTTTCTTCCTATCCCTCCCTCTCCCTCATCCCTCCCTTTCCCTTCCCTTCCCCCTCCTCCCAATCCTCCCTTCCTCCCCCTCCTCCCTTCTCCCTCTTGGTGTCATGTTCATGCCTATGCCCACGTACCCATGTCATCGTCTCATTACGTCATCGGACACATGCTGACCTCCGCGTTTCGTCTGCAAGGTCAGTCAGTCAATATTGACGTTGGATTCGCATGGAGACAGACCCGCTTGCAGACAGAGAAGTGGAGTGTTTGTGTGTGGTGAGTTTGTGTGTGAGTGAGTTTGTGTGTGTGTGTGTGTGTGTGTGTGTGTGTGTGTGTGTGTGAGTGTTTGTG